CGGTTATCAAGCAAAATCTCATCTAAAATAAGGGTTTCTTATTAGACTTGCAACGAATAGTAAGTAAATTCTTACACACACCCAATACCGAATATTCTACAGTCTATTCTCTGAAGCTGGGATTGTTTCCGTGACGAAAAGGAGTAAACTACTGCCTGAAAATTAAGATAAATTTGTCTTTCTGCACCATTATCTTCCACTTTAATTACGATAACTCGAGTGCATAGACATTTATGTGATAGTATTTTTTTATTTTTTTAATATGGAAGTTGATTATGTACCTATGACTGCTTTAATGATTAGAAGAATTTTTTTTATAATAATATTAATAAATATTTTCATTTTACCAATTATCTGATTACAATAATAATAGGTCGACTAGGAAGTCACCAGGTTCACAAACAATTCCAACGTAAAATAGCTGCAAAGTGCTACTGTTTGTTCATGTGATGGTTGATGACAAGTGAGTTTTTTTAACGAATTCTGCTAACGAGGCATTATATCAAAGCTGTAAGGGGTAAAAACGCATTAGCATTTTGTTGTTGACCAAGGATAGACGTAGGTGACAATGTGCTACAGTATCCACTTAACATCAGTTAGATATCTCGTCTCTATGCTCATTGTCATTCTCAATTATATCAATTATATATTTTCTTTTATTCTTTAGTTATAACCTATCAAAAGTTCACTGCTAAAAATAAGCATCCCCGTAGTTTGCTTCATAGGATTTTGTAATAGTTACGTTTGGCACGTGGGTTGCTAACCGCAGTTTTTTTTAAATATATTATTTTATTTGTTGCGCTCTGTCGCCTCTTACGACACCCACAAGATGACATCGTGTTGGATATTCTTACACTCCCAATACATAACGAGTATATACATATAGATTGTATAAAAAATAATTCCTTTGGTTGAATACTGATTATAAAAAATATTCCTCAGCAAGCCGACGGCGAGGATGAACTGAAGAAACGTCAGCTGATGGAACTGGCCATTATAAACGGCACATATCGCGACTCAAGCGCGAAAGCCGTTGTGCCTGTCAACGGTCAGTGCCTCATAAGTATGGTCGCCTTTATGTTTTGTCACTAATTCCTTACTTTAAGTTCTAACAAACTTCTATTTCGAACGTTAAATTATGAGAAAATATCATTCGCACCCTTGATAGTTTCAACGTGGTAGAGCTTCGTTGCAATTATATTATGGTTGTCGCACGAATGGGTCGCCTCGAACGGGGTACAATAACGCTCTCACATAATACCAGAGAAATTTAGCAGTTTAATGCTGCTGTGTTTCATATGGTGAGTATAGAGAACCGGATACCCTTTTTGCTAGAAACGAGGCATTCCAGGGGTCCTCAGTGGTGACAACACATTTACATTTGGATTCTTAATTGAGGATAAATGTAGATGTCTATGGGCCACAGCATCCACTTACAATCAGGTGGACTGTGTGCTCGTTTGTCACCCTATATTATTAAAAAAAATAGAGGCCTGCACTCAGCAGTGACTTGACACTAGTGATGAATAGGTTTAATATGATATTTGTCCCTACTGATTGGACAATTATATAACCATTTAGAATTTTTTATCAGTAATAAATGTAATTTATGAAATATTTCAAAAAAACTTCATATTGCAATAGTTTTCAAGAACAAGTCGTGAAGAATATTTTCTCATAATATACACTACCATATTCTGTTTAAGGTTTTTGTGAATAATGCAGTGGTTTAATTATACCTCTTCTTTTAACAATTTAATGACTCCCGGCCTTACTCATAAGTCGATACTTATCACGTCACAGACGTCGATACGTCAACCTAAGAAGTATATCTTTACAATTAGCGACAATAGCAAGAGGCAGGTATAGAGATATACTTATGTTATGTAAGCGATAATATAGATTATAGATTATGAGTAAGACCGCCCACTGTCACAAATGTCAGGTCAAGCTCTATTCTACCTCAATGAATTAGTTTTCTTAATTAAAATTTTGTGTTTATGTCAAGTGCGTTCAGTCGGTTTTTTACTTTGTTTGTTGTTTAATTATTTTTCCCCTTTGAGTGAACTAAGCAATACCACAACTCAATTAACATAAAGAATGTCGTCATAGTATACACGAAAAATTTCACCTCTATTTTTAAACCCGACTGTGAAATTTTTTCTTCAAATTAAAATGAGACCTATCCTTGAGGTAAAGCTTTTTTAATTATTGAAGAATTATTAAAATCGGTGAAAATTGGCAAATATATCGCGTAACATACAAAAAACAATTATAGTCGAATTGATAACCTTCTCTTTTTTTTAAGTAGCCGATCCCATTCGCCTCTTCACAGTAAAAAATAATAATTTGAGCGATTACAAGAACTTGACAGAGCTTAACTTAAAACTAGTTTTTTTTTTTATAAATGTATATTCAGGATCGGTGGTGCCATCTCAAGTATGCTGATATTTTGCTTATAGTAGATGTGTGACGGATAATAACTAAAAGAGTGATCAATGATTTATTGTGATCACAATGCCTTCTGATTAACTTACGAAGATTACGTCGATTTCTTCAATCTCGGAAAACCCTACCTGAGCCAACATTTTAAGCTGTTTGTGATGGCGCTGAAACCGACTTCAAAAAGGAAGAGGTTTACAAATTTACAATTCGTCGGAATCTTTTTTTTTTTATGTATCTACAACGATTACCCGAAAACGCCTGAACCGATTTGGATAATTCTTTTTTTGTTCCAAAGGGTAACTTCCCAGGTGGTCTCATTTAAATTTTATCGAAATCGGTCAAGCGGTATTAAAAAAAATCAACAATAAATTATATTTATATTAAATTCGGTTGTACAAAATGTTTAATTTTACCACTTGTGTTTAGCCACTCTTAGTATGGCCTAGTGTTTGCCCATTTTTAATAGATCTGAGTCATCAAAGTGATTTTAGAGATGACTAACCATATTGATTTGTGGCATGCTACGGTTGTTAATTAACATGGGTGATTTCATTGCACCTTGCAATTATAAGTAAATGGGTTACTTTATGTCTATCCGATAGTGTTTGGTTGAACAATTAATTATTGATTTTATATTAATGCACTCACAATTTATTATGGTTGTTGAATTTTTTTTGTATTTTATTTGTTTACTTTTGAAATATTTAGTGTAAATTAATCTGATGGTTTATGTCATTTCATCAAAATGGAAAATACTATTGAAAACCTTTTCAACCTCTATTAATAATACTCGTAATTAGCAGATGGGTAACACTGCTGTTATAATCTTTCCTACAAATGCATTTTCACAAATGTATGTTACGTAACAATTACAAATAATATAATCTAAATAGCTGATGCGATTAAGGGGACTTCACAGCTGACGAGGAGTGGAGGCGCGTAGCAGCCGCGGCTGCTGAAACCCAACGACTTTTAGCCCCAACTGGCGGAGTGGCTGGGGTTGGAAGCGTCGCATTGCGTACTCAAGCGCCGTTGGGGGCTCCGCTGATACTGTCGCCACGTATGTCTGCCGGTCCAGGGGGTCAGGCGGGGCTACTTAACGGGACTGGAGCTGGTTCGGCCGGGCTACTGTCACCAGGGGAGCCCACCCATCAACTGATCTACGCATCCCCATACGCCGACTACGCTAACTACGCCGCGCTCACCGCCGCAGCCAACCCGCTGCTGACCGCCGAGTATGCAGCCGCCGACCATACGGGTGGGTTATTCGCCCGTTGATCACACACAACCCTTTCGATAGCATCTTATTTATTCGCAAAGACAATTGTCCCCTTTATATTATTAACGTATTAAAAAAAAAACGAAACACAGCGTCCAGATTTTATGATTTTGATGAATCGAATACTCATTTAAAAAATCAATATAGTTTTGATTTAGAATTTCTTGTTTCTATCAAATGAGAAGAGATAAGTTTTAATCGTTAATAATTACTTTCACTTCGATATTTTTTTTTATAATCAATCGCGTCTGCCCTTCTATACAAAGGCTTTGGCCTTACTTTAAAAAAACCTTTGCCTTACTTTAAAAAATATTATGTTAATTGGAGATGCTATCAAAAGTGGAACACTAACGGAGAGATCACACGGTACCCGGGTTCTTATCTGTCAAATAATATTTAGTATAGCTAGATCAAAGCCTAGAGTAAATTTAGTTAAATTTATTTTTAATGCCATATCCGCAATTACTACCAAATTTTTAAATTGGAAGAAAATGCATGAATAACTTTATTTATATGGTTATTTCTTTTACTTAACTTTAATGTTGTTGCATGCTTTTTGAATTTTTCTGGGCTTTACTTGTCTTGCCTGCTTAATTACAGATTTTGAAACATCCTATTTAGTATACCACATAAACAGCAAGAAATTTTATTTTAAAGTAATACAAGTTAACAGTGAGAAATTAATCCGTAATCTAACAATAGAGCGTTACCGGGCTCGTCACAACACAGCAACTAACCGACTAATACAAAATGACGTCGAGCTTATTTGAACTGTGAGTGAATTAAAGATTTTAATGGGGTTGCAGCGTCGAGGTATCTACTCGCTGGCTTTTGACATTGGCCGCATTCGCATCAGCCCGCAATAAGATACGACAGGCACCAACACTCACCGTATCGGCCACTTCATCAATTATACCGTCCTTAATATGTTCATATGCGTCTGCATTTTTTTCTACGGGCGCCATCTTCAGTCAAATAAAAGCCATGATCTATATGCATAGATTAAGTAACATAATTTTAAGTATGATTTAGCCAAGTGACTCGAATCTTTTGTACCTTTGATGTTATTAATTATAGACAAATTTTGTTTACTCCTATCCGTTTTGTACAGTTATCATACAAAGTATATTTTGTTTACGAACAAAAAGAGATATAATTTATTACTTAGCAGATTTTATGAATATTTATACAAATGATTATTAATTATTTTCAGGTATTTATTGCAAATTATATTTTACCGTTGCCTCTTGTTAAGAATGATGGCAGTTTGTATTTCGTTATTTTAGTTGAATGTTTTATATTAATATTAACTAAACTGCCAATAGTACTTCAAGTTACCGATTTTTCATATACAAAGACGTAGTTTTTTAAATTCTTATTTTTTGTAATCTATTATATTTTCCTGAACGTAAAAATAAAAGAACCTATTATTAACTTTATAGTTCTTGTGATAACCTTTGCTTGTAACACAACTAATCTATTAACATTTTTAATGAAGATTTTAATGTTTGTTTTATGAACTTATGAAGTTTTTAGTCGATATCATGACTTCTAAAATCATTTCTGCGTGTGATTTTCATTCTTATAGATTTTCAATCAGATGTGAATAACCACTGAAGTTGTTTTTTTTCTATAATTATTAACTGACAAAATTTCTTAACGACAAAAAATTTAATGTTTGTTAAAATTTAGTAAGCGATTACAAGCAAACGGGACCAAATAAAAATTGAATTATTAAAAATCAAACAAGCGTTCTTTCTAACTTTTAAATAACAAAACTGACTACTTAATATTATTATTTAAAAACACACGAACAATTCTAGAACATTCTAGGCGATTTGAAAATATATACATGCTTAATTTTAATTTTACATTTTATCCGAATGAAATGTTATTATATGTTATAAATTTTAATTTATTATTTTTAGCCATACTGATTTATTAGCAATTTTTAATGTTTATAAACATACCATAGGTTAAGTATCTTTTAAAGATTTTTAAAGTTAATTTAGCAAAGAGTGAGCTTTATGAATATATATCCTTATTTTCTGAGATATAATTTAGGACAAGAGATGCTGTCGAGTGTCGAGTCACATAAAATGGAACAAAACCAACAATACTTATATCCGGACCGGGTTGGCAAAGACCCGTTATTTATTTTTCAGTAATTATTATTTTTCATATTTTTTTCCAAAGCAATTAATTAAAGATAAGTAATTCATAGGTATAGATATTTTAGTAGACATAAGCAATACTGCCAAATAAAAAAATATCTATAAATTTGTAATAAAAATATTATTTGGCAGTGAGTACTTTGCAATTGTATTTAAGTAATGGTTGTATGAGATCTTACAAAATAATGAGATTATATTTTTTCCAGCATTTAAAAATTAAGGTCATCCAGGAAATTACTTCACGTAGATTTCAATACAATTTAATAATGTATGCACTGTAGAATAAAAATTCAAATGTTGAAAAAATACATTTATAATTAATTACTTACTGGTTGTACCACTTGCGCAGTTGGGCGAGTTAAAATGTTCTGTTCAGACACAGATAATGAATATCCGTATGCCGCTAGGTATGGTGCGGAGGGCGGGTCGGCTAGCGCAAGTGAGGGAGCACCCTTACCAGCGCACAGCCTTACCGGCGCCTTAATTCCCGCCAAAACGCTCTCGCGCCGCCATTTTGTTCACAAGGTAAACAGCGCGCGCACACGCATGCCTATGATGAATATGCTTGTATTTGACTGGTTCTTTTCAATGTGAAACTTTCGTGTCTTTTTAATCAACAAAATTTATTATTTAAATCTCTATTGTAACTGTATTACGATTTGATTTTTTGACACGAAATTTGCGCATTTATGGCTTATCATGTCACACAAATTCTATTCATTTTAGCCACGCAAATTAGTTTCACTTTAGTAAGAATATTCGTCGGCAATGCGTGAGTGCCTCTGCTTTATTGTCTCTTTGTGTCCTTTCTATTTATATTTATCGTGTACTTATTAGATATTTTTACTAGTTAGTATGAGGATAGAATGTATTAATATGTATTATGCCCATCTCTGCTTCGCCGGATCTGAAGTGTCGTCACTGCATAATTTAAAACTGTGATTTTTATATTTCTTTTTTAGATTTTTAGATCTGTTACACATGTTGTGATAAAACGCTCCAATAATTTTATTTTACATTTTTTTTTATATTTACCCTATTAATGTAATGTAATGTAATGAGTATATATGTATTTATAAAAGTTACTAAATTAATTTTGTTGCCGACATACCTATTAGCAGTTTGTTATCACAACATGTGTCTTCGAGCAATAACTTCTCGAATATTTTTTTTTTCGGGTATCAGTTAGAAATATATTTGAGGAAAGAAGGATTGTCTATATCAGGCTGTACAGCTTCACTATGTTACTAACTATTTACAGATTTTTCATAAGAAATTTTCAGATTTCCATTTTGCCTAGTAGAATTTAGGGAGGTGCTAGTATCCGGTTGTGAAATCCTTCTTTCCTAAATTTTCGTCCAGTATTTGTCAGAGGAGAAAGCATTTTCAGAAATGTGCCATCAGTCCAGTATTAAATAGAATGCTTATCCTTTGACTTAATGTTTTCTTAATAATCACAACTTTTTCATAGTCAAAAAAAGATCTTTATTTGTAAAGTGTTAAGCTAGTTGTTTCTTTTTTGCCTTAGTTATAACGATATTTAGCTTTCTTATTTGAAAGTTTAATTTTATTAAGAATTGCACTTGTGTCCTTGTGGATTTAAAAAGGGCGTACATATGCCAATTACGTATTATCACGCATCATTACATGAAATATTTTTAGAATCGAAATGATATTCATAATTTTTTAAAGATTTATATAAGCGATGATGTTTGTGTAAGATATTGTTTAAATTGTTGATTGTAAATATAAAATGCATTTTCAGAAGTTATGCATTATACATTATACATACAATAAATTGTCTGAAATTAAAGATAATTCGAGTTTTCTTTCATTAGTTAGTTTAGATCGCGTCTGTTATGTTTAATTGGTAATTTTATTTGGGAAATCAGTAAAGTTGATGACGTGCTGTCGTTTGGACAGTTCAAGCCTCACATGACTAACATTGCAACTCCACAAGGCCAAGTTCCCGTTTATTTACAACAATAATTACGAAGTGCACTATCATTACTGCTATTGTCACAACTTGCAGAATATTTGTAATTATGTATTTATATTATATGAGTCACTAACATGCAAATATGTAATGACATTATTGATGCGTTATCACAGACTTATTAACAACTTTGAATGCTATCATTATACAATTATTATTGAACTCTAAGCAATGTTTAAAATAACTTACATACTTGCATTGGGGTGCTATGGTTATAAATAAGTTATATTTTTTATTACCTATGCTTGTTTGTCTGGACAATGCTTGATTCATGAAAACGTGGGTATAAAACGATTTGTCTCAACAATTTGTCTCAAGCATTGTTCGTTTGGGAACTATTGGGCATTTAATCCTATAATGTAGATTATCATTATCATACTAAATTATTTAACCTTTTCAAACCATTAACTTGCGTAAACTAATTAATTATGTTTATTCCTGTGTATAATTTTATTAACTGGGCCACAAACAGAGCAAAATCTTATGTCTCGGCACGAATGCCTGATAGCCTCCCTTAAATACTTTTTTTTTTATAGAATTATCTATATTAAATTCCGGACACCGGTTACATCAATCCGAGATCACGTTTTATCGCTTTTGTTAGCTGCATGTGCCGGTCTCCCTATGGCAATATACATATACCGTATATAGATTCATATGAATAAAGACAACTCATGTGAACATTAGAAGCTTTATGAACAGCTTGTAAATTACGCGTTTGCCCCTATCACACGTCGCCGGCGTCGGCAGCTCGAAAGCGTTGGAACTCCCGAACTCGCGATTGAGGCTAGACGTGTAGTCGGACCATGACATTTTGATCAATACTAACATTCTGTTTTCTCTCTTCTCGTTAACCCGGCTAGGTGAGTGCTAACGGCGCTGAGGAACTAACAGAAGATGCGGCCGCCCGCCTACAACGGACCCCTAGACGTCGCGTAACATATTCATCGGAACATCGATCACCATGTAGCTATAGCTGTTGGGCCTTTCACGTTAACATATACTATGTATTTTAATAGTCTAACTATTAACAATTATATGCCTGTTATGTTTATAACATGATGAACTTTATTAACATTATATTTTTTTTCGAAATGGCACACGCCATCGACTATATTTACTGTATTGTATTGTACTGTCGCTTCAACGTGTTGTTGTTAGAATTTTTTAGGTTTACCCCTATATCCCTTGACGACGCTAAATCTAGTTAAGTATGCAATTATTTTAAGGTTATTAAAGATATATTTATTACTTATAAAAGTTTATGTGATCAATATTTTTTGAATATCACATTATATATTTTTAAATTTAGCGTCGTCTTAATATAGTTTTTTTTTTCAAATGAAACACTGTCCTTGCTATTTTTTAGAAAACAAACATTTATTATTTCACAGAACAGTCTAAAGTTAGCAACATGGCTTATTTCTTGGAAAACATTTTTTTTGCATACATAAAAGTAAATTATTAAAAGAATAATGTTCTTTTTATCGAACAAAACATTTTATTCCAAATATTTGTTATTTTTATCGGAACACAAAAATTTTAAACTATATTTAAAGTTATTTTTAGATTACAATTATAGTTTAAAAATTTACTTAAATTCTTGTTTATATTTTCAATACTTATACAGAGTAATAAAATATAGTTAAAGATATCTAACTAATTAAATAAAAGTACAAAATGCTTACATGCTTTCACAATTTCTTTAAGTTGCTATAAAAGGAAATTTACAAAAAAAAAATAAGAAGATAAATCCATGTCAACATTATTGCAAGAGGCAACACCTAATCACAAGAAGATAATAAATGTGTGTAAGTATGCATATCGTAAAGAATATTTAGTGCTTTGCGTATTTTTTTTAAATTGTACTGATATTCAGTTTATAGTCTTTTAAGGTATTTCCATGGACTTATCAACTTCCATGCATATATTTCGACAGTATATTATCAAAAACCAAAGCCAAAGAGTATAACTTAGGTTTTTTGAAAACTATATCCAAAATATTGAATTGAAATGAGTCTTCCTTTTTTTTGAACACAGTCGAGTTGATAAGTGCATGGTAATTATTTGAATCTTTTACATAAACATTATATAAATAGCATTATATTTTATATTATCTCTAGTGCTTAATATTTATAAATAACATATTGAATATTTTGTGCATCTCAAGTGCCTTAATCAATGTACAATATTTCCACCTACGTGGTTCTATAATATACAAATTGTTATATGCTTATTTTATAATTAAGTAAAGAAGAGATTAAATTATTGTTAACTTGCTAAATGTTAATGTTTATACTTTATAATCATTTTTAAATATGAGCACATCGGATAATTAATCTCCATTTTTAAATATTGTGTAGATTTTGTAGTTAGTAGTACTAGTGCCTTCGTTGCAATCTCTAGAGAATCTCTTAAAGCATATGTTCTTTCACTTTAGAAGAATATCTGGTATTGTTCATGTGGACTTTGGTTTTCATATGATCGTATAAAAACTAACACTGGTCACTTAATCTCAAGCTATAATTACAAACGCAACTAGGGCATTAATTGTTCAATTAAGCTAATTGTGATGTACATAGCATATTTAGAGTTTTTCGAAAGCAATAATATTTCAATAACTATTACTTAAATTAGTGCAATAGGAATGTTATTTCGGTTGATATTTTATTAAACAAGTCTCGATTAGACATATCGAGAAAATATTACATTTAATAGAGAGATCTGATATTGAGATTAAAAATATAACTAATCGATTATCACATTCGTTAATTGAGAGTAAAATTATTTTATTAATTAGCTTATAACATATTATGGTTACAAGTTTGACTTCGGTACCATTGAATAACGTATTTTGATATATATTATAAACATTATTGTTACACATCTTCAATGATAACATTTAATCAAATTTTCTAACCTCTAATAAACAATATTTAAAAAAATAAAATGAAATAGTTCGAACAACTTTTCATCTTCACATAATATAACCTATTTCAAATAAACTTCCTCCGTCCATAGTTACTTCATAATTTAAGTACTTAATTTGTTGGTCTCTTACTCATTGCTTGAATTACTACAGTGCGCTAGAACAACTCAATCTTTACCAGTTTAAATATTTTTTTTAAATTATTTAAAAGAGTTTTCTTTTAAATGTTTTTTTATGAAATCAAAAACATTTTGTATTAAATTTTAAAAATATACACAGTATATTATTTTAGTAAATTCATATATAAATCAGAATGTAGTACATATATATATATCAGTTACTCTATGTTTCTACCATACATACTGTCTTCCGCTTTTATTTTCTATATAATATTTTTGTTAGAAAATACATTAGAACTTTCAACGGTTTGTGTTTTTAGGGCTTTAAGGCAAATATATATTATATAAATAAAAAATATTACTTCATGTCATTTTCATAAAAATCATACGATGTTAATTGATGAAGGAATAAGTAAACAATTAGTTAACAGCAGGCGCTAGCATTTGAGTTAATTATCTAAATCTTTAACTGTCGACAAAGATGATACAATCTATCTGACTTTTCTTTTTCTTTGATTATCTGTCACGGACCTGATATATAAATTTTTACTTTCTGCTTTCATCATGAACTCATATATTATATTCTTAAGATTTAGGCTATTGCGTAACGGTAGTTTTAGGTAATTATACTAATTTCATACAGAGATTTCACTTCATGCGTCATTAAAATGAAATAAAAAGCATTTATTCAGAAATAGAAAAATGCAATGCCATAGTTCGATTTACAAAATCAACGAATCTACCAGAATATCAACAGATTGTGATGGAATGATAATAATAATGTACAAATCAATTTGACGGTCTGCTAAGTAATTACCTAGTAATAATGTTGTTTCAATACGATAAAGTGCAATTCGTTTCTTGAAACATTTTTGTGCCATCAAGCAGACAATGTTATGTCATTGTTTTTTTTATAATTTGTACTTATTGTATTTACATTATGGCAATTCACTGAAAAAGTGCCTTAATATGAACCTTGTAAATACTTATATTATTAAAATATTCATTAAAGTATTACTTTTAGAGGAAAATGAATTCTTACAATTGTTTTCCAAAAACAATATAAAGCTATATCTACTTTATCGGTTTAGTTAATAAAGATTGTGCATATTACTTATGTCTGTTTTGATGTGTGTTTAAGATTGATTTGGTAGTAGTAAATATATTATTTAGAAAATGTATTTCTTTGTTTTATTTCACCTTTAAAACAATTATCATTACGACTCGATTCATACTTTTTATTTTTAGCTTTATTCCATATTCTTTTAGAAATCAATGTAAAACGATATAATAATATCAATATAAAACCTTAAACGTATGTAACCACATTACTATTATACACTATTGCTCTTTACCGGAAGAAAAATGTTTTTAACGTAAGTCTCTGTCTGGACTATAAATGATACAATTATTCTAAGATCTTAATAATTTGCAACAGTAGCGCAACTACAGCTATATCTACTATATGATACAAATATTAAGGCCGAGCTATTAAAAGTATGTTCTGAAAATTGCCATTTCAAGATATTTATACGAGTAACACCAAAAATTAAATTTTTAATAAGACAGGTGGTCTTATTAAAAATTTAATTCGAATAATCTTTTAGAAAACATCCATTCTAAATTTGTAAATTTAATAAATGGATGTGTACAATATAATACATCTAATTTTCCAGAATACGTTTTAATTTTTTGAACTATCTATTACGGCGACAAACTGGCGTGTTATGTTTTTTACACGACACGCCAGGCGTGCCATCGATTACTTTTGTCGTGTCTTTTTAAAAATCGTTATAACTCGCTCAAATTGCGTTTTTGGAAAATTTATCCAAAACAAAATATTAATTATTTTGCAAGTAGTTCATGCCTGCAGTAAGTGCCTAAGTAACAAATAATAGCACTCATTGCGATCGCTCACAAACTCAAGTTGTAAATAAATTTCTGGAAAACAAGTCTCCTGTTAAAAAAAACAATGCGTTTGCCTTATTGTTTAATTTTGCTTAAAATGGTTGAACTGCCGTCTTATTACTATCATATGGCCGAATAGACCTACGAAGTACCATGTGCTCTTGTGATATGGTATAAGGTTTATTTTTGCTTGAAACAGTTTGAAACCATGCATAAAAAAAGTTTGCTGATAAATAGTCTTTCGTCAATCCGCCGCCATATAGCGCCGGCATTTGTTTCCTTTTGAAAACACTTGTTTTGCTATTCTTACTAATTAGACGTTTTGAAATCGACTTTACTTTTACATTTGTATAACATTAAGTAATATTTAACATTTTTAAATATTAATGAATCATAAACTTTTATTTTTTCCAAATTAAGGTTCTTGATTGTTTGATATTTACAAATATTATTATTAGGTGAAAATTTAATTTAACAAAAACCAAGGTTTTCCAGGGTGATTTAGCTGTACCTACTTATATAAATTATTTTTTATAAAACAAAAAATAGTACAAAAGGTTTGTAATTCTGCATAAAAAAAGTTACTTACTCTCAATTTCAAAGAAAACACGTAGAAAAACACGTATTTACCCACTAAAAACAAGTATCCTTCCGTTTGCAACTGATGTTTTCAAGTGAAAAAAAAGCGTGTGGCGCTTGACACGACAGGCGTGTCACGAAATATTTGTCGAGAAAAAAAAAGTTGTCGAAAATCGGCGCCGCAACGTATCGGTTACTGGTTTTGTGGTGATAATTTACTGATTACATAAATAGCTACCAAAACTTTCCTCATCGTCATCTTATTTTAAAATAATATAGACCTTTTATTCATATCTAAATGTTACTATGAATTACATTATGTGACAACGGATGTTAGTGACTCTAAGATTCGAATCTCAGGCAAAGTCTAAGCTAGTATAGTTGTAGTACGAATGGGAGGTCTGTTAAGCTGGAATGGTCATTTGGGCAAAATCACTTAAATTTTTGCTAAATATTTAGTGCTCATTTAGTGCTAATTTAGTGCTGCAAATTTAAATTTCACGCCAAAATAGCTTGATCAAAAATTAGAAAACTGCTAGCTTTTAATTAAGCTAGCAGTGTTCTACCTATTAAAACGATAACCGCTTAATACAGCACCAAATAGAAGAATCAATAATTTAGTGCTCATTTAGTGCTGCCGATATACGCAAAAACAAATATTGAGAATATATATATTTTTTTTAATATCATAAATTCTGCTACTTTGACATCTTTAGCAGAGTATGTAATGAAAAAATTAACATCCAAGTAGATTATCACCTAATGATATGAGATAATAATTTAGTGCTCATTTAATGCTGCCGATATACGCAAAAACAAATCTTGGGAAATTTTTTTTAATATCATAAACTCTGCTACTTTGACATCTTTAGCAGAGTATGTAATGAAAAAAATTACATCAGAGTGGGCTATCACATAGTGATATAAGATCATAAATTAGTGCTCATTTAGTGCTGTCGATATACGAAAAAGGATTTGGGAAATTATTATTTTTAAATACCGTAAACTGCTACCTTGGCATATTTAGCAGAGTATGTACTGAAAAAATTGACATCGACGTGAATTATCACCTAATGATATAAGATAATAAATTAGTGCTAGTTTAGTGCTGTCGATATATGAAAAAAGATTTGAGAAATGATTATTTTTAAATATCGTTGACTGCTACTTTGACATCTTTTGCAGAGTATGTGATGATACATTGACATCCAAGTGAGTTATCACCTAATGATATACGATAATAATTTAGTGCTCATTGACTGCTGCCGATATACGCAAAAACAAAACTTGGGAAAATATATTTTTTTAATATCATAAACTCTGCTACTTTGACATCAGAGTGGGCTATCACCTAATTATATAAGATAATAAATTAATGCTCATTTAGTGCTGTCGATATACGAAAAAGGATTTGGGAAATTATTATTTTTAAATACCGTAAACTGCTACTTTGACATCTTTTGGAGAGTATGTGATGAAACATTGACATCCAAGTGAATTATCACCTAATGATATACGATAATAATTTAGTGCTCATTGACTGCTGCCGATATACGCAAAAACAAAACTTGGGAAAATATATTTTTTTAATATCATAAACTCTGCTACTTTGACATCAGAGTGGGCTATCACCTAATTATATAAGATAATAAATTAATGCTCATTTAGTGCTGTCGATATACGAAAAAGGATTTCGGAAATTATTATTTTTAAATACCGTAAACTGCTATTTTGACATCTTTAACAGAGTATAGTATATAGAGTATAGTAGTAACAATATTTCTTTTCTTTATTACAAATACCGGAAGTTGCTATTTCGACAGTTTTAGCAGAACTCAAGTTAGAAAATTGATTTCTGAATAATCAAATATCAAAGTATAAAGATGTCAAAGTAGCAGAGTTTATGGAAATAAAAAAAATATATTTTCTCAAGTTTTGTTTTCGCGTATATCGGCAGCACTCAATGAGCACTAAATTATTATCGTATATCATTAAGTGATAACTCACTTGGATGTCGATGTATCATCACATACTCTGCTAAAGATGTCAAAGTAGCAGTTACCGGTATTTAAAAATAATCATTTCCCAAATCCTTTTTCGTATATCGACAGCACTAAATGAGCACTAATTTATTATCTTATATCATTATGTGACAGCCCACTCTGATGTAATTTTTTTCATTACATACTCTGCTAAAGATGTCAAAGTAGCAGAGTTTATGATATTAAAAATAATATTTTCCTAAGTTTTGTTGCGTATATCGGCAGCACTAAATGAGCGCTAAATTATTATCTCATATCATTAGATGATAATTCACGTCGATGTCAATTTTTTCAGTACATACTCTGCTAAATATGCCAAGGTAGCAGTTTACGGTATTTAAAAATAATAATTTCCCAAATCCTTTTTCGTATATCGACAGCACTAAATGAGCACTAATTTATTATCTTATATCATTATGTGATAGCCCACTCTGATGTAATTTTTTTCATTACATACTCTGCTAAAGATGTCAAAGTAGCAGAGTTTATGATATTAAAAAAAATATTTTTCCAAGATTTGTTTTTGCGTATATCGGCAGCATTAAATGAGCACTAAATTATTATCTCGTATCATTAGGTGATAATCTACTTGGATGTTAATTTTTTCATTACATACTCTGCTAAAGATGTCAAAGTAGCAGAATTTATGATATTAAAAAAAATATATATATTCTCAATATTTGTTTTTGCGTATATCGGCAGCACTAAATGAGCACTAAATTATTGATTCTTCTATTTGGTGCTGTATTAAGCGGTTATCGTTTTAATAGGTAGAACACTGCTAGCTTAATTAAAAGCTAGCAGTTTTCTAATTTTTGATCAAGTTATTTTGGCGTGAAATTTAAATTTGCAGCACTAAATTAGCACTAAATGAGCACTAAATATTTAGCAAAAATTTAAGTGATTTTGCTCAAATGACCATTCCAGCTTAACAGACCTACGAATGGGTCGGCTCGACCTGGGAAGGACCACGCTATCACAGAATACCAACGTAAAATATCAGCTCAACACTTCTGTTTCGTATGGTGAGTGTAGAAAACCGGAGATCTTTTTTACTGGAAACGAGGCATTCCATCTTAGTGGTCATGGGTAACAACGTATCTGCATTTTGATTTTTATTGAAGATAGATGTAGATGTGTATGGGTCACAGTAACCTACCATCAGGTGGATTGTGTGCTCGTTGGCACCCTTATGTTATAAAAAAATGATGTGGGGGTAGGGTAACTTCCTTTTCTTCTGGCTGTTGGATTGATAGTCCATGTCCAAAATCAGTTAAAGATGTCCTCTCTTATATTTAGCTAACTATTTCCAATAAAAAATCCTTTTTAGCGTTAGCGTTAATCCACCTAGTTAATAGAAACTATTTTTGTGGGTTCAAGATAGTTGGTGATCCCATTTTCCGTTGACAATGTGTCATTTTCAGTTTCTTTGTAACAGTCGGGTGAGGGATATGATATTTTAGATATGTTGGCCTTATTTTACCGCCTTTATGAATTTCATCGAAACACTTCAGCAAATTTCAATCTTCAATCTAAAACAACGATAAAAAGTTAAAAATCTAATCCGGTGGTTGTTCATAGGAGCACTTTTTTACTACTGTGTACCAACAGCAAATGGTCAACAACTGGGGCACATCGCATAAAACTATTT